AAAGTAATACACAATGAAAATCATGAAATACTAAAATAAATAACAAAATCAATTTTATTTTGTAACCCTACTATACATATAAATATTACAGAACATTTCACCTTTAAACCCAAAAAATAAAACCCATGCGAGAAAAATAAAAAAACAAAACAAAAAAAGAAAAAAAAAAAGTTTAAAAAAATTTAAGCACCCATGAAAAAAAAAATCTAAAATTTTAATTGGGAAATTTAAACCCTATATTAAAAACGGTTTTGTTTTTCACTGAGAAGGAGAAATGATTTTTAAAAAAAACTTTAAGTTAAAAAAAAAACCAAGATTTCAACTGTTTTCTTTATCTGTTTTTAAAGAAAAAATGGGCGGGGCCAAAAACCCTGGGGAAACCCAAATACTTTTTTTTTAAAAACCCAACCCTTTTTGAAAAAAACTAAAAGTTCAAATATTCACAGATTAAAAATTTTAAAAAAAATTAGTTTTTTAAACACATTTTAATTTTAAATAAAAAAATTCCCCCTTTTTTAATTTAAGTTGTAAAAACAAAAAATGTACAGGACTTAGCATAAATTCATCAAAAAATTTTTAAATAAAATTGCATGAATATATTTGAGCTGCGTCACGACAAAACCAACACTAGACCTATCACTGAAGGTGATTAATACCCCCACCAGCAACTTTTTGAAAAAAAAGTAGTCTGAAGAAAACTTTCAACACAAACTATCAACTGTGTACAAAGAAATATTTCAATTAATTGTAATCCCAACTGGGGTCTCCAAATAAGCTTGCTTTTCACAAAGTTTGATTACAATATCTCATTCCTAACTCTAGTTATTGTCCGGAAACCATTTTTCTATTTTTAGGAATGGTGACCTTGACCTTGACCCCAGGGGGTCCAAATGCAATACCAACCCAGGTCTTCATATAAGCTTGCTATACACCAAGTTTGAAAACAATATCTCATTCCTAACTTTAGTTATTGTCCGGAAACCATTTTTCTATTTTTAGTAACGGTGACCTTGACCCCAGGGGGTCCAAATGCAATACCAACCCAGGTCTTCATATAAGCTTGCTATACACCAAGTTTGATAACAATATCTCATTCCTAACTCTAGTTATTGTCCGGAAACCATTTTTCTATTTTTAGTAACAGTGACCTTGACCTTGACCCCAGGGGGTCCAAATACAATACCAACCCAGGTCTTCATATAAGCTTGCTATACACCAAGTTTGATTACAATATCTCATTCCTAACTCAAGTTATTGTCCGGAAACCATTTTTCTATTTTTAGTAACCATGACCTTGATCTTGACCCCAGGGGGCCTAAATGCAATACCAACTCAGGTCTTCATATAAGCTTGCTATACCCAAAGTTTGATAACAATATCTCATTCCTAACTCTAGTTATTGTCCGGAAACCATTTTTCTATTTTTAGTAACGGTGACCTTGACCTTGACCCCAGGGGGTCCAAATGCAATACCAACCGGAGTTTCCACATAACGTTGCTATATACCAAGTTTGATTACAATACCTCATTCCAAACTCTAGTTATCGTCCGGAAACCATGATGTGGACCGACCGACGGACCAACCGACCGACAAGCTGACTCCTATATACCCCCCCTTAACTTCGTTTGTGGGGGTATATCTCATTCCTAACTCTAGTTATTGTCCGGAAACTATTTTTCTATTTTTAGTAACGGTGACCTTAACCCCAGGGGGTCCAAAAACAATACCAATCCAGGTCTTCATGTAAGCTTGCTATACACCAAGTTTGATTACAATATCTCATTCCTAACTCAAGTTATTGTCCGGAAACCATTTTTCTATTTTTAGTAAAGGTGACCTTGACCCCAGGGGGTCCAAATGCAATACCAACCCAGGTCTTTATATAAGCTTGCTATACACCAAGTTTGAAAACAATATCTCATTCCTAACTCTAGTTATTGTTCGGAAACCATTTTTCTATTTTTAGTAACGGTGACCTTGACCCCAGGGGGTCCAAATGCAATACCAGCCCAGGTCTTCATGTAAGCTTGCTATACACCAAGCTTGATAACAATATCTCATTCCTAACTCTAGTTATTGTCCGGAAACCATTTTTCTATTTTTAGTAACAGTGACCTTGACCTTGACCCCAGGGGGTCCAAATACAATACCAACCCAGGTCTTCATATAAGCTTGCTATACACCAAGTTTGATTACAATATCTCATTCCTAACTCTAGTTATTGTCCGGAAACCATTTTTCTATTTTTAGTAACGGTGACCTTGACCTTGACCCCAGGGGGTCCAAATGCAATACCAACCGGAGTTTCCACATAAGGTTGCTATATACCAAGTTTGATTACAATACCTCATTCCAAACTCTAGTTATTGTCCGGAAACCATGATGTGGACCGACCGATGGACCGACCGACCGACCGACCGACAAGCTGACTCCTATATACCCCCCCTAAACTTCGTTTGTGGGGGTATAATAATGCGTTTGCGACCAGCATGGATCAAGACCAGCCTGCCTGTCCGCGCAGTCTGATCAGGATCCATGCTGTTCGCTTACAAACTCTATTACAAATAGAGAAACTGATAGCGAACAGCATGGATCCTGATCAGACTGCGCGGACACATTATGTTGGTTTTATTATGACACGGCTCATTTTATAATTACATTAAACTAGAAATGTGTCCATAGGACACGGATGCCCCCACACGCCACTGTTCTGTCAATCTTATGACTCTAGGTCAAATATTTTTTGGACTACATGTGCCACAAGTTGAAAACTAAAAATCAACAAAGGGCCATAATTCTGTTAAATTTGGTCGCAGCAAAAATTCCTACCTTTACTACCATCTACACATAAGGTTGTTAATCCCTGGAAGTTTAAGCAAAATCTGCCATCCGGTTTAAGAGGAGTTGCGTTCACAAAATTTCTACATAGTATATAATGAAAAAAACAACAAAGGGCCATAATTCTGTTAAATTTGGTTGCAGCGAAAATTCCTTCCTTTACTGCCATCTACACATAAAGGTTGTTCATCCTTGGAAGTTTAAGCAAATCTGCCATCCGGTTTAAGAGGAGTTGCATTCACAAAATTTCTATATAGTATATAGTGAAAAAATCAACAAAGGGCCATAATTCTGTAAAATTTGGTCGCAGCGAAAATTCCTTCCTTTACTACCATCTTCACCTTAAGGTTGTTCATCCCTGTGAGTTTAAGCAAAATCTGCCATGCGGTTTAAGAGGAGTTGCGTTCACAAAATTTCTACATAGTATATAGTGAAAAAATCAACAAAGGGCCATAATTCTGTTAAATTTGGTCGCAGCAAAAATTCCTTCCTTTACTACCATCTACACATTAAGGTTGTTCATCCTTGTAAGTTTAAGCAAAATATGCCATGCGGTTTAAGAGGAGTTACGTTCACAAAATTTCTACATAGTATATAGTGAAAAAATCAACAAAGGGCCATAATTCTGTTAAATTTGGTCGCAGCGAAAATTCCTTCCTTTACTACCATCTACACATTAAGGTTGTTCATCCTTGTAAGTTTAAGCAAAATCTGCCATCCGGTTTAAGAGGAGTTGCGTTCACAAGATTTCGGGACGTACGGACGGACTGACGGACGGACACTCGGACGGACAAGTGCAACGCTATATGCTCCCACTCTGTGGGGGCATAAAAATAAGTCACATAAGATGGCAAAAAAGATACACCCAAAGAAGTACATGATAATGAAAGCTTGACAAGTTAAAGTTTAAATAAGCAAGAAGGTTGATTCTTATTGCTGAACTATTTACCCCTGAACTTTCATCATTATCTCTACATTTATTTGTTTGTTTTTATTTGTTCCACTACATATTGGTTTCAGATTATTGTTGTTGATGTTGTCAATTCAAAAGATGCACAAGTGAAATATGATAATTTTCATACCACAAGATGAAAAAAATTCTTTACTAATCGAAAAAACTTGGAATCTTCTGTTTATTATATAATACTTTTTTCCTTTTTAACCTTATGAAAAGGAAGAATTCCCTTTTAATTTTGTGTATTGGCTGAATTTAGAAGAAAGCAGTCAGGCAACACACCATGCAGTAAAAATACGTAAAAAATATGTTTCACTACAGTGAAAAATAAATTTTTACAGTGAAAATACTGAAATTAAAATATATATTTTATTTTATCAATATTTCTCAATATTTCATTTATAAGTATATAATAAAGTATTTTATTCAATTGTTATTTCTATAATGTGTTAAATAAACAACTTGAGGGTCAATGAATAAATTTTCTATTTTAGCTGCATGTAGAAATCATGCCATCACATAAGTGCAGTAACAGGTTAAGTCCTTCTTAATATTATAGGAGTTAACCAGTTACTGCACTTAAATGTGTTGATACAGTGACTATAACTAACTTGATTATAGTTAATTTGACTGTTTTGCTTATTGAAGTATGAAAAATCAGCTAGTCATTTAAGTTTTATGTATTTTTACAAATGGTTTCTTGAAATAAATTTTGTTAATGGTAGCTGTATATCCAAATATATCCACCAATTGTTCAGAAAACTATTTAAAAATTTAATCTGATATCATGATGAATTAAGATGAATCATAATATCTGCACTATTTTTTTAGCCTGTTTTGAAGAAAAAGCCGTAATTATAGCAATGCAAAATCTTAAATGAAGCAACCATCATTCAAACAAATCAACCAATAAGGTTTATCAATGCGATACTTGATTATCAAGACAAGGTGAAGTTGTGAGACAACAGACATTATTCTGAAGGCTGACTATTTCAGCTAAAAATAGTGCAAAAAATTGATTTTTTTTTTAAAATTCAGCAGGCTAGAATTGTTAATTCTGGTTTCCTGAACATGCTATAAGACAAAACAGAAGCTGTAATTTCATTTCAACTATTTACCTTATGGAAACAAATTTTCATCTGTCTATAGTTAAACCTGTGTTAAAAAACCACCTATGAATTAAGAACACCCTGTAAATCAAGTACATACTGTGACAACCCTTTATTGATTTAAAACAAATATAGTAATCTCCATATCAAGGCCCCTTTTCTGTAAAGTTCATGGTCAATATCACCTCAGGTGGCCTTTGTTCACAAGTTTGACTGTATGCGAATTATGACATCACATAAATTACTTCATTTCACAGACAGCTTCAACTTTCACAAACAAAATAAAAGGTTTCGGCTGCCTTGAAATAACCAAAGGTTTGTTCCAGTCTTCAAGCAACTCAACATATCACTATCATAAGTTCAAAATTCACTTCCTTCTCTTTTTTTCTGTTCAAATCTTCCTTCAACTGGATGTCACCACACAGAAACAACCAAACATTCCTTGACCTTTGAACTTCTTATCCATCTCCGATACATTATCTTATATCAGATTAAGTTGCGACAATCGACATATGACCTTATTAATTAATCCTCCAGGTTAAGCCCATATTGATCATATAAGTCCTTTGACCTTACTCCTTCTAAATTAGCTGAAAAAGTAAAATGAATTCAAATATTTATTTGTCAGAAACATATAGTTCAATGTTCTGTGCTAAAACATAACGGATATTTATAATTTTCTACAAATACAGGATTTATTTTCATTGAGTGGTATGAAAATAAATATTTCAGGAGTGGTGATAGCAAATGTGAAATATGATAATTTCGTATCACATGCATTTCCTGCACCACAGTTTCACCAGATCCATGGCTTAACAGCATCTGACTTGTATATTTAAATGACTGGAAGGCAGAAAGCTGTCACTATAGATAAGCCTCTGCTATATATATATACATGTATTGAAATTAATTAAAATTAAATTTTTTCTAAAATTTACTTATAAAATGTGAGGGTAAATTCCATTCTCAGTTTTTGATTTCAGATTAAAAAGGGTAACAAATAAAATGAAGTTTGGGCAATAAATGTGAGGAAACGTCTATTTGTTAGATACAGGAATGAACTTCAGCAAATTTTTCAGTTTGGATATCAGGAATTTCAGTTCAATTCTGAATTGGGAATTGTATTTAAAAATTGGGAAAAAAACAAGCATAATTATATGCCATTGGGAATGTTTCTGGTTATCTGATCGTGGTGGCATAGGGAAAAGGCATGTGGTAACCATGTTACAAGTGTTACATAAGAAAATCAAAATGTAATACCCACTTACTCTGCTCTATATCCAATCGCCACCTTTTGCAAATCGCTTAAGATTCTACATAACTTCATGAATACTGTTATTTGTTTCTTTTTTTCAAAACAAAGTCATTTTTTTAAGATTTACGATGAAATAACTCACCTAATCTTCCAAGCACGAGTTGACCTACATCTTTTATCTCATTGTACTCGTGTAATTTATCTATGTGTATCTGTAACTCCGCCTCCTTCATTCCTCTACAATGATATATAAAGAGTTGTAACAAAGTGTGAATATAGAGAATACATGGTTGATGTGAGGGTGGAGGTCTATCCGTTGAGCGAGAAAAAGTACCTTCAGGCATGCTTCTAAGAGAGCAAAGATTCACTTTCACAGCAAACTAAATAAACCTTCTTCTAACCTGACAATTCAGCCATGTATTTGATTTATCCTGCTATTTGTCTATTTTGATTTTTCTTGCTTTTGTCTACTTTGATCATGTTTTTAGTTTATTTAAATGGTTTAATTCTTACTTTTCCCCAATAAAACAACATATATATGTAGTTTTGTTTTGCTGCTAACCATGTGGCATCATCATATGACGTAATGACTGGAGATAGTTAAGTTTATCCGGCAAGGCTTTATCCAGTTGATAATATAGACAGTAGCAGGATAAAATCATTCTAACACACTTCATACTATTCCCCATCAAACAGATAAGTGCATTGTTACACAATATATACACAGCATTAAAAAGGAATGCTTTCACGTCATATGACGTCAGATATAACATCAATAAACCAAAATTTAACAAGCAAATTCGTTGAATTTATATCCCCCGCCGAGTACTGGTTATTATTAACACAACAACTGAAGACATAAGGCTTTATTTATATATTAATCATGGCATAAACAGTAATATTCTTTGAACTTGATAAATATTCAGGGCAATAACAGAGCCATAACTTTGTGTTAAATAGTAAAATCTGGAAATGCCAATGAGATGTATGCATACTACATAACTAATCAAGGGCCATAAATCTGAGTTATAAGTATCTGACTGGAACAAGGCTATATGCACATCTCCTCTTAGTATCCCATAAAGTTTCATTGAATTCCAGCCAGTAGTAGCAGATAAGTAGCGAGGAAACAAATATTTTTCTATATGGATACTGCATACCTAATCAAGGGCCATAACTCTGAGTTAAAGTGTCTGACCGGAACAAGCCGACGATATGCGCACCTCCTCTTGGTATTGAAGGTTCCCATAAAGTTTCGTTGAATTCCAGCCAGGAGTTGCTGAGAAGTAGTGCGGAAACGATTTGTACTCTATATGCATACTACATAACTAATCAAGGGCCATAACTCTGAGTTAAAGGGTCTGACTGGAACAAGCCGACGATATGCGCATTATCCTCTTGATATTGATGATTCCCATAAAGTTTCGTTGAATTCCAGCCAGTAGTTGCAGAGAACTACTCCGGAAACGATTTTTACTCCATATGCATATTGCATAACTAATCAAGGGCCATAACTCTGAGTTAAAGTGTCTGACCCAAACAAGCCGACGATATGCGCATCTCCTCTTGGTTTTGAAGGTTCCCATAAAGTTTTGTTGAATTCCAGCCAATAGTTGCAGAGAAGTAGTGCGGAAACGATTTTTACTCTATATGCATACTGCATAACTAATCAAGGGCCATAACTCTAAGTTAAAGTGTCCGACTGGAACAAGCCGACGATATGCGCATCTCCTCTTGGTATTGATGATTCCCATCAAGTTTCGTTGAAATCGAGCCTGTAGTTGCAGAGAAGTAGCGCGAAACGATTTTCATCTATATGCATACTACATAACTAATCAAGGGCCATAACTCTGAGTTAAAGTGTCTGACCGGAACAAGCCGACGATATGCGCATCTCCTCTTGATATTGATGATTCCCATAAAGTTTCGTTGAATTCCAGCCAGTAGTTGCAGAGAACTACTCCGGAAACGATTTTTACTCTATATGCATACTACATAACTAATCAAGGGCCATAACTCTGAGTTAAAGGGTCGGACCGGAACAAGCCGACGATATGCGCATCTCCTCTTGGTATTGAAGGTTCCCATAAAGTTTTGTTGAATTCCAGCCAGTAGTTGCAGAGAACTACTCCGGAAACGAAATTCGGACGGACGGATGGACGGACGGACAACGCCAAAACTATATCCCCCTCCTGATTCCATCGGCGGAGGATAATAACATCAGGAAAATTACTTCTACGCTCCATGTAGTTCAACATATATTTATAACTTCTCTTTTTTTATTAGCATGTTAGAATGGACATGGATAGTAATTTTTTGTGCATTATGTGTATAATAATGCATGTTTTTTCGTTCAAATGATTTCTTATTAATCACTCGGCCTTTGTGATTATATTCCTTGAACTCAAACCCAGCATTATTCTACAACAATGCACTCAGAATTGATATATAAATATTTCCTAATTCTAACATTAAAAGACTTAAGAGATTAATTCCCTTTTAAACAAAGACATTTGCGATATACAACAACAGTGCAATCTCCATTCCTATTCCATTCCTATATACTTAAGCATTTACATAAGGATGAGCAAGCTTTTAGTTTATTCTAGAAATGGCAGATATTATAAGGATTTTCTTCACATTATAAATACAGCCAACAACAAGGTTATGGAATTATGGCTATAGTTTTACTTCCATACCACTTATGTTTTAGAATAGAAATATATCTTCATTTTAAGCTATAGTGCTTTGTTGGTAATGGTTGTTCAGATGTTTGTTATCAATCATTCATGATTATAGATGGTGCAGAAAAAATAGTTATTTCATAATAGTACTTGTTGTCAATGAGCATTTTAGAGACTTTCTGTTTCAATTGAAGGCCCATTATGCTTCAGAAATGCTACCAATTTCATTTCTCAAAAACTTTTAACTTGGTATCTTGTTACAGTTTTCAAAGAAATACACATTTTCAATGGACTATCTTTTGCAACTATAACTCTGATAGCAATCAGTATAATTATAGTGATTTATTTTGTGTGGAAGTCAAAATACTACTTTGTTTACATTTTGCTACTTTAATGACACATTACTGCACATTCAGCACTACTTTCTTCAGTTGTTAAACATCTAACATGCTCTTATTCACAAATTTGACATATCAAAAGAACTGAAAAATTATTTATTTCTGAGGCATAATGTGCCTTTAAAAGTAATTACTGATATTTAGAGCTGAGTCTGTAATTTTATCAAACCTAGTATAATCTCAATACAATTTTATGATGAAAGTCTGTAATTTCATCAAACCTAGTATATACAAGTTTATGATGAAATTCTGTAATTTTATCAAACCTAGTATAATCTCAATACAATTTCATGATGAAAGTCTGTAATTTTATCAAACCTAGTATAATCTCAATACAATTCATGATGAAAGTCTGTAATTTTATCAAACCTAGTATAATCTCAATACAATTTTATGATGAAAGTCTGTAATTTCATCAAACCTAGTATATACAAGTTTATGATGAAATTCTGTAATTTTATCAAACCTAGTATAATCTCAATACAATTTCATGATGAAAGTCTGTAATTTTATCAAACCTAGTATAATCTCAATACAATTTCATGATGAAAGTCTGTAATTTTATCAAACCTAGTATAATCTCAATACAATTTTATGATGAAAGTCTGTAATTTCATCAAACCTAGTATATACAAGTTTATGATGAAATTCTGTAATTTTATCAAACCTAGTATAATCTCAATACAATTTTATGATGAAAGTCTGTAATTTCATCAAACCTAGTATAATCTCAATACAATTTCATGATGAAAGTCTGTAATTTTATCAAACCTAGTATAATCTCAATACAATTTTATGATGAAAGTCTGTAATTTCATCAAACCTAGTATATACAAGTTTATGATGAAATTCTGTAATTTTATCAAACCTAGTACACTGTGTATAATCTCAATACAATTTTAAGACAAAAGTGAGCAATTTTCATTATAGCTGAAATCCCTCTTCCTAAAGATACATACTGTGACTTCAAGTCTTCAATCTCCTTGTCCACCATTTTTAACTTATCTTTCACCAGGTCAACAGTCTGCTGATCACCTTCTGACACCCTACTAGCTGCATCTTTCTGAAACTATTCCATGTTATATCATCAGTTATGGAGATTTTTAACAGGTTACTGCAAAATCATTAATCTATTTTTGATGCGCATGAAATTTTGGGGTTTTGTCACAAAGAACATTTTTGTTGATTGTTAAATTTGTGCCAAAAGGTAATATGATGCAAAATATTATCTAAGAGAAGATGAAATGAAATTTTTCCTTTATCTTTATAAATTTGTGACCAAAAAATCCACAGAAATTAGTGCCCAACAAAAAATAATGATTTTGCAGTATATGTCTCAGTATAAACAGCTCAGCTGTATTGATACGATTGATTGGGTTTTAAGTCGCACCAACACTGTAAAGGTCATGTGTGTATAATGAGTATTTGGTTTAATAATTTTACCCTCGCCACCAGAATGAACCATATGGGCGAGCATAATAAAGGTCATATGGCAACTTTCCAGCTTTACTGGTTGAAAAATACCTCAAGTGTCCATAATGGGCATTTTTTTCTGGCATAAGACGGCACTTGAATAGAACCACCAACATTCAGTATAACATTAGCTACCTTAATTGATAGCTTCCTTACTAAATGTGAAAACTTTTCAACATTTTAATTCAATTACTTTGAATGAGTAATTCAACTTATTTTCTATCACAGTACATTATAAATTATCACTATTTTTTTTTCAACCAATTCAATCAGAGACATGTATTACAGAAGCAAATGAATTGCCATGCATAGCATGATAACTACGTGGCAATGCAATACAAATCACTATCATGGTACTGACTTGCAACCTTGAAACCAATTGGTGCATATATTATAACTTCTTTATTTAAATTATATATTCAAAGTATTGTTTAATAATTTATAGCATTTATTTAAAAACAAAGAGATTCAGGATTTCTTCACAGCACTTCAGGAACATGACACGACCCCCAGAATTGGGAATTTTTATGATGTATATTTTAGACGAATAGGGAAAATCTGACAACATAATTATTGTATACATCAAATAAGGAAAAGAAAACAAATATTTGGTTAATTAAATTCCTGTTATATTTAACTCATAAGCCAGATAACAATTTGGAATGCAGGATAATAATTTTCTATGGCACAGTGCAGTTAAATATAACAAAAATGACAATAATGTTGAACTTTAATTAAATTTTTATCACAGACATATAAGATAAGATAGTAACTACATGTTACAATATAGTGTCTCTGATTTTATTTTTTATTGCATGTATCTATTTTATCATAATTTTATTTTCAAATGTATTGCCATTAAAATTTACAATTTCTTTCTGATGCATATATTTTGAAAACATTAATGATACATAACATTTTAATCAGAAATTTCATTGTAAGTCTTTATTGAACAGATAGGTCAAGGTCTCTAAATACTGGTTGCCTTTAATTATTACTTAAGAGCTATTATCCAACAGTATGTGCATTAGTCTGTCAAAGGGAGTCACATTGAGATATTTGGACGAGCAATATTTTTTTGGTTTCACAGTTGGGAAAAAAAGGTCTCACTCAGACTCACTCTGTATAAATGTGTCAAACAAACCATTCGCAACAAAACTAATTGGCTACATAATGTGACACTAAGACTAAGTCATTATGTGACTGTAAGACTAATTATCATTCTTAATTAGTGGCATTTATGGGCTTTTTTTCTTCTACAGCAGGGGCCGTTTAAGGGCGGCTTCTCCAAACAAGAGGGCCATGATGGCCCTGAGGTCGCTCACCTGTACATAGGCCCCCCCCCCCGGGCCAATTTTTACCCAAGGGTTTTTATTTGTTTATTTGAACAGACTTGGTAGACACCCATAAGAAGATGTTTCATGCTAAGTTCTAGCTCATTGGGTTTTTTAAAAGAAGATTTTTAAAGTTTTTACTATACACATATAGTTAAAAACAATGACACCCCTGGGGCAGGGCCAGTTTTGACCCATGGGCTTTTATTTGAACAAACTTTGTAGATATTTACTTAAAGATGTTTCATGCTTAATATCTAAACTCTAGCTATTTGGGTTTTTTCAAAGAAGATTTTTAAGTTTTTGCTATACACATATAAGGAAAATCAATGACCCCCGTGCGGGGCCAGTTTTGACCCCAGGGCTTTTATTTGAACATACTTGGTAGACACCCATTAGAACATGTTTCATGCTAAATATCTTAGCTCTAGCTTATTGAGTTCTTTAAAAGAAGATTTTTTAAGTTTTTACTATATGCATAAAAGGAAAATCAATGACCCCCCGGGGCGGGGCCAATTTTGACCCCAGGGCTTTTATTTGAACAAACTTGGTAGACACTCATTAGAAGATGTTTCATGCTAAATATCTTAGCTCTAGCTCTTTGGGTTCTTTAAAACAAGATTTTTTAAGTTTTTACTATATGCATATAGGGAAAATCTATGACCCCCTGGGGCGGGGTCAATTTTGACCCCAGGGCTTTTATTTGAACAAACTTGGTAGACATTCACTAGAAGATGTTTCATGCCAAATATCTAAGCTCTAGCTCTTATGGTTCTTTAAAAGAAGATTTTTTAAGTTTTTACTATACGCATATAGGGAAAATCAATGACCCCCCGGGGCGGGGTCAATTTTGACCCCAGGGCTTTTATTTGAACAAACTTGGTAGACATTCACTAGAAGATGTTTCATGCCAAATATCTAAGCTCTAGCTCTTATGGTTCTTTAAAAGAAGATTTTTTAAGTTTTTACTATACGCATATAGGGAAAATCAATGACCCCCCGGGGCGGGGCCAATTTTGACCCCAGGGCTTTTATTTGAACAAACTTGGTAGACACTCACTAGAAGATGTTTCATGCTTAATATCTTAGCTCTAGCTCTTTGGGTTCTTTAAAAGAAGATTTTTTAAGTTTTTACTATATGCATATAGGGAAAATCAATGACCCCCAGGCGGGGCGGGGCCAATTTTGACCCCAGGGCTTTTATTTGAACAAACTTGGTAGACATTCACTAGAAGATGTTTCATGCTTAATATCTAAGCTCTAGCTCTTACGGTTCTTTAAAAGAAGATTTTTTAAGTTTTTACTATAGGCATATAGGGAAAATCAATGACCCCCTGGGGCGGGGCCAATTTTGACCCCAGGGCTTTTATTTGAACAAACTTGGTAGACACACACTAGAAGATGTTTCATGCCAAATATCTAAGCTCTAGCTCTTAGGGTTGTTTAAAAGAAGATATTTAAAGATTTTTCTTTCGGTTGCCATGGCAACCAGAGTTCTGCATGGTATTAAATTCTTTGAACAATTTTTAAAGGTGACCACCAAAGGAACATTCCTGTGAAGTTTGGATGAAATTGGCTCAGTGGTTTATGAGGAGATGTCATTTAAAGCAAAAGTTTACGGACGGACGACGGACGGACAGATGGACGCCGGACGAAAAGCGATCACAAAAGCTCACCCTGTCACTTTGTGACAGGTGAGCTAAAAAGAGTGCTTTAACATTTTTGCAGTTTCCCCAAGAAATTGAATCTTGTAACATTTAGTTTTTTTTATTCCCCTTTTGCAAATATACTGTATAATTTACATCCAAAATTAAGGGTGGCGCTACTTCCCCAACCTGCATTTTAACCATTCACTGCCAGTCATTACAATCTAAAATAACATACCGGTGATTTAAATGGTGCTTGGTGTTTTCTTTTCAGTGTGTTTTTCTCTCCAGCTTTGCTCATTCTGGAACTAATAAGTTAAACCTTTACAATCACAGTAATTTTATTCAACAATTTATATCATATAAGTACCTAATCTCACACCCAACCTATTCTCAAACCTTTCATTCATGTGCGGTTATTTTTTTACTAGAAGTGACTATGATGTCCTGAACTTGTGTGCATAAAAGCTTAGTTTCTGACAGACATGTCTGCTTCTGTCAAATGAAAACAATGCATAGGAACAAATATTTATATAACATATTTTATTACTTAGCGTAATTTCATACAAATTGCTATTACCTTTGTAAGTCCCATAAATGCACCATTAACTATTTGTGAAAATGAATATTATAGTCATAAATATCTAAAAGCAGGTAACAGCATCGTGTAGGGTACTTCATTGTTATGTGATAGTCATATAACAATCACTTCATTGGCTAAACTAAACAGTAAAATTTTAGAGATACTTGAAGGGGTTATGAGATTAGGTTCTTTATTTTAAGAGGCCATGTTAGTTTTAAAACAGAGGGTTGTGCTTTTCCAAGATGGAAATAGAGCTTTTTTAATAGTTGAATTTCAGTCAAATTTTACAGAAATGTTACATAAAGATTAAAGTGAACATATATATGTAAAGAATTTTTATAAAGATATATTTTTATTTACATTAAAAGACCTCTTGAATGCTTAGAGGTTTGAAAACTGGTTAGTCCACGATACATTATAATGAATACGATTTTCACCGTCTATATTTTAGAATGTCAGACGTTTCACTCCCAAGACGTTTCACTATTGAGACGTTTCACTCCCAATACGGTTCACACCTAGACGTTTCACTCCCATTTTGTCTATTGTATGGACGTTTCACTCCAAATTTTTAGAAATGTTTACTAAGAAAGTTAACAAATTTTAATTTCATTAATATCAAACAGTGTAAAAATGAAATTCAATTTAATGTTTCATTTTGTTGATTTCAATGGTATTGTTAATACGGATTATTAGAAGATTACTCATTTAATTATGGGCTGAGTGATAAGAGGTGTAAATGAAAGACAAATTTCTGAAATATCACTTTTATAATGAGAAAATTCTATTTATAATAAATTAAAAAAAATTAGAATAACATCGAAAGAACAACAAAGGCATATTATAAGTATCAGTTTCAACATTGAAATCACTACCAGTAAAGTAATTAATATTATTCAAATAATAAAAAATATCAATATATTAAATATAATGACTATATAATGATTTTTTTGTAAGTCTTAAACAATTAAATGCAAAACATGTGTATAAAATAAATTATTTTTAAAATTATTAGTTACATGTAGTTACATGTACATGTACAGTGTTTTTTTTGGTCGAATATTCGGCGATATTCGGCCCCTTTCCCCACCTCTCCGAATATATATTTTTCCCCATGAAATTGCGAAAATTCCCCACCGGCAAAAAAATAAAGACAAACAAAAAACAAAAAAGAAAACACACAAACCATAAGTAAAGTATGCCAATTTAATAATGTTGATTCACATAGCAAATTCATGAACACTGCGTGTGCATTCAATCATTATCAGGGATGTTTAATTTACGCTTGCTTTGCGACATATTTCGTTCGATTTACCGCGGCTGTAAGACAATACGGTAACGCGACAATCGGTTATTGACTTTATTATTTACCGTTGGCTTTTATGAGAAAATACATGCAAATGTTCAAAAATAAACACTCGCCTACTTGTCAAGTATAAAAAAAACAGATTATTATAATATGAAAGAAAAACACGCTATGACAAAGAGATTACTGTAAACTACCGATGGGTCGAATTTCCACTGTATCTTTACGTCTTTTACGACTATCGCATTTACTGTATACTTTTATTGGCACTGGTTTAAAATGTCACACAATAGTCGGTGTTACCGAAAGATAATAAATAAACAATTCTCAGCAAAGAACAAACGTATCGATGTTTTTTTAAGCAGCAGGCACTGAATGTGCTAGGTTCAAAAGAAAAATCTCTCAAATCAGACCAATGCAAGTCAGTCGAGGTACGCTCGATTTTTTTTTCTCAGCGTATTTTGTTTAGTAATATATCTATGATATAAATATGATAAATTTAAATATCCCAATCAATTCACTAAATAATTTGTCTGCCAGTGCAAAAAAAATGAGTTTAATGAATCTACTGTGCAATCCTCCCATAAATAGACTGGGACAAAACAGTCTTGACAACCTGATTAGAATATGCAATTATGATGGACACCTAAACATTGATGACCTGAATGCTGTCATCAATGAGTTTGATAATAACAGTAGGGGATTGAAATTACACTGAATCAAATTGAAGTCACTCAGTTAATAAAGTTGTTAGTTGTTTTATTTCATTTTATAGGATTGAAAAAAAATCATTTTTTTTTTACTCTTTTTATTGAATGTTAATAAAACTGAAAATTCCCCTTTTGGTATTTACGCGCTATTTTCCCCACCCATTGGGCACTGACCCCCTTCCCCCAAAACTGAAAAAAAACACTGATGTATATTAGGGCCGGTCTAAAAACGCAGACGCTTATGCAGAACAAATAGAATATATAGTAAAAACGCAGACAATATAGATATAGAGTGTTTCAAACACAGAATATAAGAAATATATAGAAGGTGTAATTAGACTCTTAACTGCTTGTCACCCACTTTTTTTTTTTCAGATTAACCCTTTATCAATAAATAAGAGAATTTATAAGAATTATTATTCGGTAAAAAAATAACATTTTAATTAGAGATTAAGAAATGTTTTTATTTAAATGTTTTATCAGTATCCATAATATCAACAATAAATATATAAATAGTGATATAAGAAAGTTTTTTTTATTCTATGTTAGATTTTAATTAAATTTATTTGAAATAAACTATTTAATACTAGCTTGCATAATTTGTAAACATAAAAGAAATGGACAAGAAAGTAATATATTAATGGCTAATGCTTTTTGGCTGTCTCCTACTATACTGTACTATATATCTATAGTGTCTGCATTTTACTATATATCTATATTGTCTGCGTTTACTATATGTTTCATATTGTCCTGCAATTTATCAAAAGTTTGAAACTATATATCTATAGTGTCTGCATTTTAAACTATATATCTATATTGTCTTCGTTTTATATATGTTTCATATTGTCTGCATTTTACTATATATCTATATTGTCTGCGTTTTACTATATGCTACATATTGTCTGCATTTATCAAAGTTGTACTATATATCTATAGTGTCTGCATTTTACTATATATCTATAGATTGTCTGCGTTTTACTATACTGTTTCATATTGTCTGCATTTATCAAAAGTTGTACTATATATCTATAGTGTCTGCATTTTACAAAAATGAATTTAATCTTAAACAAATATGTTTCTATTATATCTATAGTGTCTGCATTTTACTATAATTTTCCATATTGTCTGCATTTACTATATATCTATTGTCTGCGTTTACTATATGCTAAATATTGTCTGCATTTATCAAAAGTTGTACTATATTATCTATAGTGTCTGCATTTTACAAAAATGAATTTAATTTTAAACAAATATGTTCTCTATTTTTATCTATAGTGTCTGCATTTTACTATTTGTTTCATATTGTCTGCATTTACTATATTTCTATATTGTCTGCGTTTACTATATGTTTCATATTGTCTGCATTTTATCAAAAGTTGTACTATATATCTATAGTGTCTGAATTTTACAAAATGAATTTAATCTTAAACAAATATGTTCTATGTTCTCTATTATATCTATAGTGTCTGCATTTTACTATATATCTATATTGTCTGCGTTTTACTATATGTTTCATATTGTCTGCATTTATCAAAAGTTGTACTATATATCTATAGTGTCTGCATTTTACAAAATGAATTTAATCTTAAACAAATATGTTCTCTATTATATCTATAGTGTCTGTGTTTTACCTATATGTTTCATTTTGTCTGCATTTACTATATATCTATAGTGTCTGCATTTTACTATAAGTTACCATATCTATAGTGTCTGCATTTACTGTTTTTACTTTTAACAAAATGAATTTATTGTTTTCTCTATTATATCTATAGTGTCTGCGTTTTACTAGAAAGACTTTTTTCATATGCTACTGTAAATTAGGATATATTTACTTAAAGTGGTTGGAAGTATTCAATAATCATACTTTTTTTAACATAATTTGTATCAAATTATGTGTTCTCTGCAGAAACAAAGAGACACACACATTTAAATTAAGTGGCAATATACTAATACACAGGATGTGGTCACACTTTCCTTATCAACAGGGACAAAACTGTGGGGGTAACTCTAATCCCTTTGGCTATAGGCAATTAATTAATGCACATGTGAAGTGACACTAATCTAATCAATTTTCAAACAATCATCAACAACTTTATGCAATCATGAAGCATGACATAATTAGGCCATGTCTGCAAAATTCATTTCACTATATATCTATATTGTCTGCGTTTCTTTGCAATTACTATATACTCTATATCGTCTGCATTTTACTACATGTTCTGCACTGTTAATTAAAGAGATATAACCCGCAGACGATATAGAGTATAAAGTAATTGCAAAGAAACGCAAACAATATAGATTATATAGTAAAATGAATTTTGCAGACGTGTTTTTCTTTTTATTAACATTAAAGAAACGCAGACAATATAGATATTTAGTGATATGATATGATAAACAAGTGTTTTTTTAATTACATTTATATTTATATTTTTTACATCACATTGTTTTTTTGTGGTTTTTGTGTAATAATTTAAATGCTTTATAACATTGTTTTTCTTTAACTATTTGGTGATTACTTTGTAGATGGACTAAGTATAAAAAATCAAATAAAATATGTTCTGTTCTTTTAAATTTATTTTGAAATTTACTTTATTGTCCCAATTAAAATTCTCCCCATTAAAGTTTACAAAACTTATATTAGACATTTAACTTGAAATAATAAAAGTTTATTCAAATCAAGCATAGAATGTCAAAAAAGACAAAAACAACACCTTTTATATCACTATTTATTATTTCTTACCAAAAAATCATAAAATATATTTCTATTTCTTTAAAATTCTTATTTATTTTTATATCAATACCTATAAATCTCTAATATCTGACAATTTTGATCTTAAAAACTACAAATCTAAACAGCTTTGAAGGGTGTAATTTACCCCTTCTTATTCTATATTGTCTGCGTTTTGTGAATACACTCTATATCTATATTGTCTGCGTTTTACTATATATCCTATATTGTCTGCATAAGCGTCTGCGTTTTAGCCTGTGCCTGTATATTAAAGTGTTATTTTAATCAAAATATTTTTTTTTAAGTGAAATAATGTGATAATTGCACATATGGATCAAAGAATAGAAAAAACACCTTATTTCAAAACAACAATAAAGATAAGATAACTGAAATGATAGAACTTTAAGTACTGAGTTTTAAGTCATTGACAAAAAGTGAAATCCCCCTTTATTTTTATTAAATTTTACGGTCAATTTTAGTTCAATTCAATATTTAAGGTCTTTTTAGTATATCGTAAGTATCAAAATAATTTTGGTATAAAAAGGGAGTGAAACATCTTCAAGACGTTTCACTCCCATTTGGGAGTGAAACGTCTTGGTGTGAACCGTCTTGGTGTGAACCGTCTCAATAGTGAAACGTCTGTCTACCTATATTTTATACAATAATGACTAATTAATGTACAACAAATACGGAATGAGCCTACTATTACTGAATAATATACTATTGGTTAAGACCCCGGTATCTGATCTATTTATTTATATTTTAATTGTTATATCCCTTTGTTATATCGTAGTTAAATGTAATAATTAAAAAAAAAGTATATCCGAAATTTTCGCTGTCCGAAAATGTATCTTCTCATATTAAAAAAAAGAGATCAAAACTTCATGTGGTATTGCTAAAGAAAAATAGTTCATATACTTAATACACTTAAAATTTTTGTAAACTAATTCGTTTAAAATAAACAACAAAATGTCCGCGAATAACTTACAATAAATGGCGTTTTGTTTTGCAATGATATTCTTTTTTCAGTTTCGTAAGCGGCCCGTCAATTTACCGCCAAAAAGTCAAAGCCGCACTTGCAAAACGCGCATGACGTACATACTTTAAGAATGACGCACATGACGTCATACTTATGATCGCGCTACTTTTCTTTTAGTTGATGGGTGGGACGGGTGACGTTTTATTTCTTTTGAGTTAAATCAGGTAAATAATATAGATTTTACTTGCTCTTTCTTTTGATTTAATAGTAATTAATAGATCTAGTATACAGTAGACACATGACAATAATGCAAGCTAACGTGTTTATCTGATTTAGCAGTATAGCTAACAGTCACGATATCATGGTGTTGGCACTGTTGCATTGCATTGCATGATTCAATTTCAAATCTGCTATCGAATCTTTAAAAGATTTTTTAAACTGAAAAGATGTTCAAGTGGTATTAAAATGTACATGAAATAGATCTATATTCCAGAAGAATTTGGCATTCTTCTAGTTTAAAGGGGGGGGGGGGGGGGCAGGTCATGAAATTCACAAGTTTGTGTTGATGTTTTTAACTCTGGTTGTATGCAGTTAAATTTCTTTTGAAATGACTTTATTATGTTGATCTATAGGGGAAGTGACGTCAAATTAGTGATGTCAAATTAATGTAGATTTAAGTCACAGGGAAAGGTAGCAATGTTTGAGTGAAATTTTATGCTAAACATCACATTGATTAAGGAGTCAGAAAATGGAATATTTTATGTCAGTCACACTTCGTGAGACATTAAAATAAGAATAGTCTTAGTCATTAGCACTTGCCCGATCTCACTTGCTAGTAAAATCAAAATTTGTGTCGCCCTGGCAAGTAAAATGAAAATTTATGTGACTGAAATTTCCATAATTCTACTCGTCTGAATGGCAAGTAAAATTTACGATTGCGAAATTATAGTGATGTTGAACATTCAAGCACTTGTTGCCATTTCACTACGTTTTCTGGGATTCCTTTTGTAAGACACAAAAAGCGATTAATTTATTGGGTACCTGAACTTTGTTTCATTTTCATTGTTCTGATTTGTAGGATAAAGATGACCATGAAATATCAGAACATGAAATAGAAACATGTATAGCAGGGAATGAGAATTAATAAGATATGACACATTAAAGACTTATCTTGGATTTCCTTTTGTTTCTTTTTTTACCTGAAGATTAGGAAAAAACTAGAAAAAGATATATACTGCATATATATATAACTATACAGTATATTTGAGCCGTGTCATGACAAAACCAACATAATGGTATTGCGACCAGCATGGATCCAGACCAGCCTGCGCATCCGCGCAGACTGATCAGGATCCATGCTGTTCGCTTATAGACCCTATAACAAGTAGAGAAACTGATAGCAAACAGCATGGATCCTGATCAGACTGTGCGGAAGCTAAGGCCCCCACGATTACACGTTTAAACGGGTTCGTTTCGATTTTCATTCATAAACGTTTACGATATTGTTTACCGTTTAATCGAAATGCCCATATTGTCTTACAAAATTTCTTAATCATTGCCTGTTATCATGGATTTTTGCCTGAATCATGGATTTTAGCAATTCTAGTGGTTTATTTCAAAGTAAACAAACGGAAAATATGTGTTTACAACCCTCCACACAACATTAAGGTGCAGAATTGCTCGTGACATAGTACATTTTTGGTAAAAAATGGGGTTACAATGCAGAAAATGTGTGCTGACTCAATCGTGATTAGCCCTGCACATTCTTTATTTGTACATGTATAAAATATAGAAAGAAAGACATCATTTGGCGACTTAAATACATGGTGTGTATAGTAGTAGAGGTACCACCGTTTAAACGGTTTCGTTTCGGTTCTTAGCAATCGTGTAAACGTTTACAAAAAATTGTAAACGTGGGAGCCTTAGCGGAAGCGCAGGCTGGTCAGGATCCATGCTGGTCGCAAATCCATTAAGTTGGTTTTGTCGTGACACGGCTCATTTTTTTTTTCTAGAATTACTTTTTTACACTATCCCAACACTGCTGGGTCCCTTAGAATGGCCAAAATGGCAAGTTATTCAACTTCAAAATGTTTATTTCGAAGACTGTATATTATATATTATAAGCATATTCAGAAAAAAATTTCTTTTTGTTCTTTTATCTTATAAGTAAAAAACAGTAATTTTCAACAATTTTCATTGAAGCTGGAAATGATGTTCATAAAAATGATGTCAGACATTCATGAAACTGTTACAGCCACACTAAGCGAAAAAAGTAATTTAAGTTAACATATCATGAGTCATCATTGTTGAGGTGACCTTCAGTTGCCACCAGCAGGCTAAGGGTTAACTCTTTTTTAGTAAGATAATGATCTTTGTTGAATTTTAAAGGGTTTCCTGCCCTTGTCAATAACATACTGACGAGATGCCTGGGGTTCTGGCAAAGACGGACCCAAAAAGCGTGGCTAATAAGGCTTGGACGCTTGCCAGAAATGGTAGAAGAGACCAGAGAAAGCTACATCTCAAAGGTATACTGTTACTTACTCATTAAGTGGGATAATTAGAACAAATCACAAGACTGTAAACTTAGCGGGACTATTTCTTAACTATTTCTAAAAAATGGCTGGTTTGATTGATCTTGAGTTTGTCAAAGATTTATATATATAGATAGTTATTGAATATACAATGTGTTCCAGTCCACTCATTACAGATTTGAACATAGATCTCTATTGTTTAGCAGATGTTTTTAGACTTTATTGAGCTGATTTGTTTGGCTTCATGAGGATTCAAACTGGTGATCTATTTAGCAACTGGAATATTATTCATTATTTCACAGCCTCTTTCTCTTCCTCTACAAAATTCACAAGTGCCAGTTTTTCTGATTCATTTTCCCAATTTACATGTAAGTTTATTTTGCGGCTCAAAATACTTCAAAATGACAAGATTTTAAAATCAAAATTTATCACTTGTTTTAACTTTTATAAAAATCTATAGAAAGAGACGTAAATGCTTTCTACGAGAGTTGTGAAGTGAAAAAGATGGAGGGTGAGAAGATCATAGCCAATCTACGAAAAAAAAAACAAGCGAAAACGACGATATGTGGCTGAGTGTATGTCAGTAAGTACTTATAAAATTATTCTGATCACTGGATTCAGGCATTGAACAACATTTTCAGAGTCACTCATCCTGTAAGACAAGTAGCTTCTAAATCCAATGTTCAGCAACATTTTCCACCAGTCCTCGCAAAATCAAGATCTCTTAAATTGTACTCGTAATTACGAGGGTACAAGTGGAATTTTTGATCTCTGTGGATGGCATTACAACTTTTTCTACAATGTTTTCATATAGGTCAAATAAGGGTAACACTTAAAACATGATTAAATGCATTCTGACTTCAAACCACTTGCCCCGCACCTCTGTGGGTTCGAATCCCTAAACAGTGTAATAAATTAGGATTTGAATCGACTAGGCTGGTCGGACTACCAGATTGGAATATTCACTAGCCCAAAAGACATTTCACTAGCACGATTCATTTGTTCAAAACAGTTGTTGATATTGCCTCTGAAAATACAGTAGCCTGGTCGGGCTTGTTACTGTGAAAAGTTGGTAGCCCCAGGAGAAATTTAGTAGTCAGGGGCTATCGGACTACTGCTAATTTCGAACACTGCCTAAAGGGACTTTGGATTCTTTCATGCTAGGAAGCTATACAGCAAGCTCACGTAATGTTGGTGGTTCTACTCAGGTGCCCGTTCATGCCTGAAATAATGCAGGGAAGGGCACCTGAGGTCTTCCTCCTACAGTAAAGCTGGAACGTCGCAATTTGACCTATATTGTATCGGTGTGACGTAAAACCCAATTAAACAAACAAACAAATAAAGAATCCAATATTTGCAAATACAGCATAAACCTATGTAGAGCAACACCCTTTGGTAGACAAAGATGTTTGGTTGTTGCTGAGAGGTTTTGCTCTACAGAGGTTAATTTTATTGTGAAGTTTAACACTTTTTGTGAAAAATTGATACTGTTGTAAAGAGGTGATTGCTTTAAAGAGGGCCACTCTTCAGAGGTTGTACTGTATTTTCTTGCATATCTGACAGGATAATTTACTGCTTACACTGGTGCTAGAAAAACCTGTCTTACACCCTACATGTAAGCTAAGAAGCATGTTTTAGATGACATCATTCCCACGCGCATTATATTAATTGCGTTCTTAAGATGACGCCATTGTACGGTTATGAATGAAATTGTAAATTCATTCGCTACTATGAGAAAAAAATTCTAAATGAAAATATTAGTTACATAATTTCTTTTCCTAGTATCATTAATTTGTAATATGCAAGAAAAGAATCAAACAGGCTGTCTAGCGTAAACTGAGATGGCAGAGCCTCGTTACCGCTGTAAACAAATACTCTTCAGCTAGATATTCTGGTCTGTACTGGCAGGCTGTGTAAGATTCTTATAATATACTTGGGGGGCAACTTTCAAATACCTGATACCAGTAACACTTATATTACAATTTTTGGATTTTCCTAGGAATTTAAAAACCTCCTTTTAGTCCTTT